TTTAAATGTATTTTCGGTCAGGAGAGGGGAACGACGTGCCCCACCGGACTGACTGGCGATTCAGAAAAGCCGGGTGATGTCTTAGGCTTTGCTCGACTGAGCTTAGTAGGTGGTATTGTCGTTGGGGATTGACCCCTTCTTATTGGATCTCCTTTATTCGAGGATACGGGACGTAGAATAAAAATTTTTATTGACGTACCACGGCCGACGTATATTGTATCCAAGTTAAAAACATTTAAAGCGCGCATATAACCTTCGAAAGAAGGTATTCAATTCATTTGAGCTCTATGTCAATCATGCTTATTTTAAGTGATTTTCGGCTTCAATATTTTTGTTGGATCGCGGACCTATGGTACATGTTATGGCGAGACATGGTATCTATTTACGGTAATTAAAAAGTGACCATGTATTCACCTGCGAGTAAAGTCTTTGACTTAATTACATGTAAAGCAACAAACCTTGCAAGAGGATCAGATCATCTTTTTGGGACGCGTAGCGGGGTTGAGTAATTGGAGTACTTTGCTGCAGGAATTGCATCAGGAGAGAATAACACACGGTCCGAAAACCCAAAGATGAAAGCCTGGGCTTTTTCTTTGATAACATAACCATTCTGAAAAATAAAGAATCTGACTTTTTCCTCGATATCTCGACGCAAAAGAGGTTGTACGTTGGAGTCTGGTGGTAGTTGAACAGAGGGATCGGTGTTCCTTCCCCTCCATCAGACGATAAAATACACACTCAGTCAAGACTTAAGGGCAGCATCTATCTGTCGTCAAGACCTCAATGAGATGAGGTGATCTAGGTCCATACCTTACAGCTTAGAACGAAATGTGTACTCTGTGTATGTAAAGTCCGACCGTTTCGTCCCTCTCACTGTGGCAATAGGGACTCCTGAAGGGGTTCACATTTGAACGAGAACAGTAAGGCTTCTTTCCGCCCTCGTAATTGCTTAATAACCTGCACAATCACACAATCATTTTGATTATGTTGCATAGCATATTGTACTGTAGACGTTAATGTTACTTTTGTGAACTGTGCTATGGTTCGAAGGCGATGAAGAGCTCTTTTTGTTGGCTGAGCTTTGACTCGCATGCGGCCAGAAATTTGAAGATGCGTTTCATATTTCAATTTGAAAACGAATCGGCACCCGAAGTAAGGAGAAACGACAACGCTTCCACGCGCTGGTAAGATCGTTGCGCGTTTTATGCTTTGTGTATTCTGCTATCCACTTTGTGGATATTCAATTTTGTAAGGGGCATTGAGTTGTTGGATGGTGAGTTTCGTCGGTGGAACATCGTCTGAAAGCTGCACAACTTTCTTTGAACCGCCATATTCTTATCCTGGTGTGCGGTTTTGTGCGGTGCAAGAGGCGATCTTACCTGTCTGTAGTGCTAGATGCGTCCACATATCCATTTTGTAAACTACAACTTCTTATGAACTCATGTACAAATCTGCAACCACTGCGTTTGTGGCAAATCTGTTTTGATCATAAGGTGCGGCCTTCCATGTGCGACTCCACTTCTACTACCAAAGCTTCGTCAGCGTCCTCCATTATAGTCTCAATGAACGATGAAGACGACTACCTTTCAGACAACAGCAGCTGCGACAGTCGCATGGAAAAAGAAATGGATGCAGCCAACATGCTATCCTCCCTTAGAATGGTAAGTACTTAGATGAAATGTAACTTTTTCTTTGTCCATCGACGGCGAGCCTCATCGCAATTCCGTTGTACATTCCTCACCAAGAGAAGGACCTCCATCTATAGTTTAAAGTGAATATCAATTGTTTGTTTCTTCGCTCAGCGACTTTACTAGCATCTCTGTCCCAAGATGTATCCTGTGTTCGCACGCTGTTGCTGAAGCTCACAAAGTCCAACGAGCAGAGCCCCTTTTACTCATAAGTTATCTTCCTGCGCCGATTCTGGAGCCCGTTCCTCATCATTAAATACCTATACTCTTTCCTTCAATACTTAATCAGCTCACTCCGCGCAAGCTGAATGAAGAGTCGCTCCGCCCTGCTCCCTCTGGGGCTGGTGATAGGCAGAGCAAATGGCCCGCGGCGCACAGGCCTCCCGCATC